AGAACTGGACATGGTGTGGGACCATGTGGGCCCAATATGTGTGCAGCTGCTCCTTAAGGGAGAATCTTTCCAGACCAGTTCATGGTGTATCGCAGGATCCGTCATAAAGCTATAGCCACTCTTCAGTGTTCTGGACCACAGAGAGGTAGGCAGGCTACTTCCTGCAGCTTCACAGGTGACTGCGAGGGGACCTGCCTCTGAGATGGAGACTTCAAGGGGCCCACTGTGTGTTAGCCTTCCTGTGTCACCAAGCTCAATTCTGTGACCTTTCAGCCAGGAGACACGTTGCATGGTGGGAAAGACACCAACAGTTAACACTTTCCCAATGCTAAGTGCCTTTCACTTTTAGTGGAGGCTGATAATGCGTGGGGAGTTTTTCATCACTGCCTCACATCTGCTTTGGGATTGTTGTTCACAGGACCCTTCCACAGATTAGAAACCAGAAACTGAGCAGACAAGGGAACCGATAGAACAGCAGCAGACAGCACTGAACCAAAGCCCCAGTTCAAGTTTCCACTGCCAGGGCCTGTCTATTTAGCGCTGACTTCACCTTCTCACAGAGACGGGAAGGGATGGGAGGCTGCAGACAGGACTGCTGAGACATAAGGGGAAAATGTGGCGCTGTGGACAGCTGCCTGGGATGTGTCCGTCCCTCCCCGGCTGTGAGACCTGAGGTACATAGCTTCACCTCCACCAGCTGCCAGTCACATCCAGGGTCATGGGTTGTTCTAAGGGCTCAAGCATGATGCACAGTGAGTGCTGCCTTAACTCTTAGCTTATTGTTCTGTCCTGAACTAGGGCTGTCACAGCCATTGCAGGCATAGATTTGAGGGTGGCACTGGGTGCCTGCTGGAGAGGTGGTGGCTAGCTGATGGCGCCGTCATGGGCAGTCTGAGAGGGGCTCCTCCTGGGACATGCTGAAGCAGTCATTTCATGAAGGACTGTTGGTGGGTGGGTAGGTCAGTATGTACTTCTATGTGAGTGTGTCTGTGGCTGTGCGCATCTGTGTTAGGTGGGTCTGTGTGTGTCTGTTTCTGTGTTTAGTTATATCTGGGTGTGTCTGAGTGAGTGTTCCATATTTGTGCCTGTGTATGACTGTGTGTCTGAGTTTCTCAGTAGCTGCATATATGCCTGCTTGTGACTGTGTGTGTGTGTGTGTGTGTGTGTGTGTGTGTGTGTGTGTGTGTGTCTGGGGTGGGGTGGACAAGGGCTGGTCTGGGCCTGAAGTGATTGTAATGGATCACTGGGAGGGGTCGAGGCTGTATTTAGAGGCTCCAGGGAAACAGGCCACGTTTAACAGTGGTAGTCTGTCTCACACTATTGTTAGAATGAAATAAAATAGCAAGAGGAAATTCCAGCAGACCAGCTTTAGATAAAGCTAGGGCCCCAATTGGTTTCCATGGCAGAGTATACTGAGACAGCCCAGCACCTCACACTCTGCAGGTTCCCATCACACTGACAGGTCCACTGACACCCTGTAGAGGGGCCACTGCCATCTTCACTGATGCCATCTTCTATGTCTTTATCATGACCCTGTAGAATGTGGTTCATTACCCTCCACGATGAAGTAGCCCAGGCCCTAAGGTGGCCATCCATACAAAGTCACTCCAGCAGAGTGAGTTCCAACCTGATCCTTTTGTCCCAAAGCCCATGGTCTTTCCCTGATTCTGCTCATCAATGACTTGCCACCCTAAATCTCCTAGCACATGCTCTGAAATGAGGGCAGAGCCCACCGTTGGTTTGTTTAACTGCTGATTTTCCACAGAGAAAGAGGTTTCCTTCAAAAATATCGATTATAGCAAAATACGGGAAAGGAAAGTTCTCTAAGCTATCTCACAGTGTCAGCGAGGCCCACGCCTTTAACCACTTCCTCCCCATATCAAGAACTCTGGCTATTTATAGCTGGCAAAAAAAAAACAAATGTTCAAAATATCAGAGGCCCATACTGAAATCTTCCTGTTGTGGCTTTCTGCCTGCTTGTGGATAAAGCTGGGTGCGCTTCATTCTCCTGTCTTTTGCAGGTCAAAACTCAGGACTAAGGTGCAAATACTTGAAGGGTCTGTGTATGACATTGTTTCCAAGCCATATCCTGTGGCTTCTCAAAAATCTCGCCACTTGGTGCTACAGAAATAAAGCCAATGGTACAGAATTCACACTCATGCTAAGGTACCCACTGTGGCTCATTGCCAAGATCGCTGTACTCTAGGACTTGGCTAGCTGTGTTTGGCCTGCCTTGCACTGCTGTTGATTTTTGCAATGAGTCTGGTGGATTCTCTCTAATTTGTAGATGCTGGTGTTTAGAAGGGTCCATTAGTTGGAGGTCTCGGGGGTCAGCTTTGTGCATCCTGCAGGAAGCACTAGAAGACATGGAGTTTCTTATGAGTTAAGGACAGAACCCCATCTAGGCTGTCCTGCACTCTGGTGTCTGTAGCCCAGGCTGCCCTGCTACTTATCTATGCAGCTTTGGGTTTGAAGGGTTTATGTCATCTGCCTGTATTGCTGCTGGGTTTCTGTCCTCTTCTTGCCCACCCTGTGTACTTTCCTGTCCTTCAGCTGAGCTTCCCACTTCTGGCTTAGCCTTAGGCTCTAGCCACAGTTTCCTTAAAAACATGACAACTAGACACTGATGTGAGTTGGTCCCCCAGATGTATGCATGTGAGTTTCTACCTCACAATGGCTGAGTGCTTCACCAGTGAGCTCTGATCACAACAGTGCCTCTTACTGCTCTCAGTTTCTCAGAAAAGGTACCCACTCGGGTTAGAGAATAATTTAACAATTTGGAGGGTACAGAAGTCACAACTCATACAGAATCACCTGCTGGGGTTCATTGCCAAGAGCACTGAGCTCCGGGCTCTGGCCGGTTGTATTTGACCATGTACCCTTCTTTGTGCTTGGCTCCCTCTCCTGTAACCTAGGATAATGATGTCAAGTGTTCTACAGGATGGCAGTGAGATTTAAATGTGTTCACATCTGTGATACTGAGGGCAGTGCCTGGTCCACACAAAGCAGTCCACTAAGTGAACCCAGCCATTATCAGCACCTCACTCCAAGGAACCCTATGGGACTAAAGCTACTGTGCCACATTCTTGAGAAGGGGTGGGTATTCAGTGGCTCTGGAGCCATCCCTGTGGAGTTGGAAGGCAGGTGTAGGGTACAGATCTTTTCCCCCTCACAGCCTTCAGCTGTGTAAGTCCGTGTATAGCCTTGTGGCCTTGCAGCCTGGAATGTACACCAGTACTGTGCTCCTCTCTCCTCTCTTGATGTGGCTCTCAGCCCTGCAGCACCATGGCCTGTCCTCTGTGTAATGTCTCTTCTCTGTCATGGCACTCTGACCTAATTCTAAAGCTCAGAGCCCACTGGTAGCTTCTGCTGACAGGGCCAGAGCCACCTCACCTGATCTACATGGCCACGCCCTTGGCCTACCAGCTAGGCCCACCTGAGAATGGTCTTCTGTTAGAACAGCTGCCTTCTGTCTCTTTTACACAGCAGGTGGACAGCACCAACAATATGGTACACGTGCATGCCTCACAGTCCTCATGTCATCCTCAGCACTGCTGCAACCACTCTGTGACCCGGGTTGTATGAGGAAACAACTCTCCAGCTTTCTGACATGTTTCTGATAGAGCAGCCCGGGATCTAGGGACATGAGTGTCATCAAGTCAGTCTCATGTGTCCTTTATACTGGAGTAAGAAGGCCCTATTCAACTCAAGGAGGCATCACCTTGGACAGGAAAACATGCCTGCATGACATGGGGCTCAAAGCCCCACACTGCCCCACCTCCATGGTGAAGGTACTCAAAGCCCTTTGCTGCCCACCTCCATGCTGGACCTCACACTACCCCACCTGAATGTTGTATCCCATGCTGTTCCCCCTTCCAGGAATGTGTAGCCTTTGTGGTCATGTGCCTTCATTCCCTGATTTCCTTTTAACTTGTTATTTCCAGGAGGGGTTTGGTTCTCACTGTGTTTCCCAAGCTTGCCTTAAACTCCTAGGTACAAGCAATCCTCCTGCCTCAGCTTCTCACATAGCTGGGGCTACAGGTATGGACTGCCATATCCTGATTGCTCCTGCTCTTTATTTCCACATGCATAAAGAGGGGCACAAGGCCAGCAGCTAACTGGCATGGTGACTTTGAAGATCAGAGGAGGAAAACAGGCCACCTGAGGCTAAGCTGCCTGAGTCCTCCATCCAACGCAGTCACTGATCCTCCTTTGGTGACAGCAGCCCTAGGAATGTTGGGGTGCTAGTGTCTCCACTGCCACCCACTGTGTCATCCCTCATCCTGACTTTCAGTTGATAGCCCCCTGTTTGAGCTGGTAGGGGTAGTTTGCAGAGCAACACCCTGGAGCTATACATTAGGCAAGACCCTACTCGGCACCCTTGTTCCGCTCTGGGCAGGGAGTCCCCTTCCACTCTTAGTGCAGACAGAGTGCAGCCTCGTGGGACCCAGTGTCCCATGGGCATTCTGAGACAGGAACAGTTTCAGTACCTATCATTTACCAGAGACACTCACTGATGTGACTGAACAGCAGTGCCCTTTTCTGATGGCCCTGTTCCCATCATCTTCCTAAGGATGGTATCCATTTTAATATCTAGCTGTACCTTAGGGTCAGGAGAGCTTGCTTTTAAATGGCTTCCAGTGGGTGGAGGCAGATGTGGTTCTACCTTACAGAGTTCTCTTCCAAGAGGCCTTAAAGTCCCTGTTCAGAACTATCAACCCTTTGCCTCCATATCCAACTTCAGCTGTGCAGCCCAGACTGGAGACTGATTCTCTTGGAACTCTGACTCTACAGATGAGGAAAACAGGGTTCTGCCTTGACCTGTTCAAGTTCACACAACATGTTACTGTGCAATCCGTAAACCTGAACCACACACCTGCTGGATCTTCAAGAGTCCCAGATGTCCACATGTGGAAGAAGGTGCAGAGTCCTGCTGAGGCCTGGGGCCTCCAGGCCAAAACTGTGCAGACTGTCAACCCTGTGCCTGCTTTCTCTCCCAGGGAGGCTCTGCACTGTCCCCTACTGCAGTCATCAGCCCTGAGAGGGCTCAACAGCAAGCAGTGGCTTTGGCGAAGGAGGTCGGCTGCCCCACCTCATCCAGCCAGGAAGTGTTGTTCTGCCTTCGCCAGAAACCTGCCAACATCCTCAACGATGCTCAAACCAAGGTGGGCACTGGTATGCAGGTTGGGGAAAGACAGTCTGTTGTCTTTACAAATGGAATACCAAGGCCCAACGAGGAAACATGCCAGCCCCACATACCCAGGTCACATAGCCTGTAGATGACCGACTGGAAATAGACATGTGTCCCCTGAACACCAGGCTGTGATAGAACATGCAGGGCTACTGATGGGAGACAGTTCTCTCTGTCATTTGGAGTCTTTTAAAACAATATTTTATTATTTTTATTTTATGTGTATGAGTGTATTGCCTGCATGTGTATTAGTGCACCCATGTTCCATGTCATGCAGTGCCCATGGAGATCAGAACAAGGCATCAGATCCCCTGTAACTGGAGTTACAGACGGTTGTTAGTTGCTATGTGGATGCTAGACATCAAACCTGGGTCCTCTGGAAGAGCAGCCAGTGTTCTTAACTGCTGAACCATCTCTCCAGCCCTATATCATTTGGATGTCTTGTGTAAAACCCAGGAACTATGCTGGAGCTCCAGATTAGAGGGATAAAGTGAAATGGCCCATGCAGGTTATACCCCATGTGAGGACACTGGGTGCTCTAGGTCATGTCATAACCCCTTAGAAGGACAGCTGGACATCTCTTTCTACCTTTAAAGACTGCTCACAGCCCGAATCTCTGACTGCCTCTGAAATTGGTAAAGGGGACAAGACCAGGAATAACTTGTCATTCCAGCCAGTGGCTTGAATCCCTGAAGCAACAAGTCTGGAGTCTAGGACCTGGACCATGGACCAGGTCTTTTCCTCAGCTCCCATGAATGGGGGCCATGCTGGTTAACATCAACCATTAGAGCGTCGCCCTTCCTTTAACACCTGCCTTTTCTCCTGCTCCTTCTGAGAATCACTTGTTACTTCAACAGAGTGCTCTGGGATGCTCTCCTGAGGCTGAGCATTGCTGAGAGTGGGATTGCTGCCCAGCTCCTGGCACTATCACGAGATGTCCTGCTTGCCTGCCGTCCTGGTCACTTTAGCCTTGCTTCCTGTTGGAGCCCAGTTGCATGGTTCATGGTTGAAACCCCTCAGGCAGAGCAATGAAGTGGTTTAGTGCTAGACTAACACTGTGAGTCAGAATTAAGGGACTCTCAGGGTTGGAGGTGGACATGGTTCTACCTTGCAGAGTTCTCACCCCAGAGGACTTTCTGGTCTCTGTTCCTGCTCAGAACAATATCCAGCTGCAGCTGCATAGCCAAGACTGGGCTTGAATGTTTTTTTCTAAGAAAAGTAAGATGCATACAAGTAATGGCCTCCTTTCTCACCCTGCAGCTCCTGGCCGTGAGTGGCCCTTTCCACTACTGGGGCCCGGTCGTTGATGGCCAGTACCTCCTTGAAGCTCCAGCCAGAGCACAGCGGAGGCCTCTGCCAGTGAAGGTGGATCTGCTCATAGGGGGTTCCCAGGATGATGGTCTCATCAATAGGGCCAAGGCTGTGAAGGTAAAAGGGGGGGGTTCTGCAGCCTCCCACACCGGCGTTCTCTGGGAGTTCTAGCCCCACACGGTGGGACAAGAGTCACGGGTCTCATCAATAGGGCCAAGGCTGTGAAGGTAAAAGGGGGGGGTTCTGCAGCCTCCCACTGGCATGCTCTGGAAGTTCTAGCCCTACAAGCTGGGTCAAGAGTCACTGGCTTAGTCCTATGGCTGACAGATGACCATGTGCCACGGCTACAGGAGCTTGGAGGTGGTAATGGGGGGTGTTAGATTCAGAACTAAGACATTTACAAAAGGTGACCAATACAGCTACGCCAACCAATCACAGCTGGGAATAAATCATGATAGTTTGGAGTAGGGTTGACCCAGTAGCTTATGGCCGCAGGGTTTTAAGCTAGAACCAGGCCATGGGACCACCTGTTCCATACAGGGTGTCTGTCTTACTGCAAACTGGAGGATGCAGGGGATGTGGGCTCTGTGAAAGTTTGATGGTTTCCAGTCTTGGATGGATACCCAGACACCAGCCTTCTAGATGGGTTTCTTCCTGGGAAGGCACATACAAGGCACCTGGAAAATTGCAGCTCTGTGTGGGACATTACAGGTGTGGCCAATGGGAGGGATCTGGGAGGGCCATCTACCAGTACAGCACCCATTTCTTCTTCTGACCAGAAGTCATGGCCATTCCCTCAGTGGAGGGAACTCTGGAGTAGGCAGAGTGTGTCTCCCCATCCCTACTCCTCCCTCATCTGGAACAAAGCCCCGTGGGTAGTCAGACCTGAGGTGGGGCCCCAGCAGCAGAGCCTACTCAGGGCCAGGAAGGCAGGAACCCTCCCTGTGACATAACTTGGGTCTCTTCTACTCTACTTAATGTGAAACTGTTAAAAAATTGTTAATGCCTCCAGATAGGGAGATAGGATCCCCCATTCCTTTGGAGTATGCTGCTTCCCTTAAGTGATCTCTCTCTTTTCTTTCTTTCCTTCCTTCCTCCCTTCCTCCCTCCCCCTTCCCCCTCCCTCCCTCTCCTCTTTCCTTCTCTCTCTTCCTCTCCCTCTCCCTTTCCTCCCTCCCTCTTCCTAGAATCTACAAACCTCACCACAAATAAGAGCGCCACTTTTCCATCATATGTGTACAGGGATGTTTATCACAGCATAAATTATTGTAGCAAAAAGGATTTGGGAGAAATCCAGTTGTCCATTAACAGGGGGCTGGTTGACTAAATTAGGGTACATGGTAACTGCTAAATGCTGTGCAGCTGTTTAAAGCATAAGCTGGATCTCTCTGATGGCTTGAAGGATGCCTGTGATGGGTTACTAAGTACAAAACAAAGATGTAGAGGAATGTGGGATTGAGTAGTGCTCGTGTTTAAGAAGCAGCCTGTGAGCATCTGCATGTATGTACATGTGCATGCTTATATGCTTCTGTGTGAAAGGATCATGGTGCGGACAGGCACACCAAGCCCTTAGCACTGACTGCCTCAGGAGGGGTAGGATAGAGGGCTTGATTTCCTCTGCTGCTTTCTGTGCATACATGATGTGTTACATACAATACAAACTTTTCCCTGCAATACCATACCCAACATTGTCCTGCAGGAGAGGATGTGAGATCTAAGATCCTGTCCTTACAACCCTGGATCTTTGGAACTTGCACTTAGCACTCATTCTATCTCTCAGTCTTAAAAGAGAGGAAGAGCTACTTTCAGAGCCTGGGGACCTTGGGACTCAAATAAGACAGGGAGCCTGGGGTGGGGAGGGCCGCCCTGGTGGGTACTTCCCACACTGCCTCCAGTAGAAGTTCTGCCCACCAGTGAGGGCAATATGCTGTTGGCAGATTTGGGACCACAACCCAGACCATAGTTCTCAATGATACCAGCCAATTATAAGAGGGCCACCTGGGTGTGTGGCTGTGTTGGGCTTGCCCTTCCGAGCACTGTTCTGGTGGTATCTTTGGGGCCTTCTGCTACTCCTGACAGACTAGAGAACCAGAGTCCTTCCTTGATACTATAATTCAAAGGTACTTCCTGAGTACCTCTGAGGCACTCAAGGCAAAGTTTCCTTTGCTGACTTGCAAAGAAAGATAGTGCCATATGGCAGGAAGTTCACTGTGAAACCAGCCCTGCTGGGAAGGTGTGCCCTAAAGGTGGGCACCAGGAAGCTGGTGCACATGGCCATGCTACTCCAGCTCTACTCCATAAGGACGTGGGCCTCAGCACGCTGGTCACTGCTCACCTGTTTCTGTCCCACTGCACTCCTGGGTAGTCTATGATCCTGTGTCTGTTGAGCAAACCTGGGCACTGCCTGCCTGGAGGATGGCAAGAGCAGAGGTAGTCATCTATGGGGAGCCAGAGCTCAACTATGCTGGTCCCTCTGGGATGGAAGTATGTCCCTCCAGCCTGGCTGCCCTTCCAGACTTTCCCCTTGCCCCCTGGTCTACAGCCATAGCCAACAAAGCTGAACATATTCACTTAGATCCCTTGTAGCTTCTTGTCCTTAGACCATAGTGGACAGTTGGGGCCACCTCCATTCCTCACACAAACCCACATACCTTCCACAGTCCTCTTAGTGCACCTCTACACTCAGACTCCACACCAGCATTATCTGGAGGCTCCTCACTCTCTCTCAATCTACAAGCCTTTCATCAGCCAATTCAGACAACTCCAAAATGTTCCAAGAGCCAGCCACTTCTCACCACCGCGTCTGCAGCCAACCTGCTCCAGCCGTCATCTTTCTAAAGAAGCTGCTGTTTCCCTAGCCTCTGCCTCTAACTCTGTGCACGACAGCCTGAGAGTTCCACACATCCGCAGAAATCCTTTCCTGCAGAACAAGTCATACCAGGCCCCCTGTCCATTCAGAGCCTGCCACGCCCCATCTCAAGCCATCAGAGCCACATCCTTACAGTGGCCCCTAGAACTCTTCTGACTTCTTGCTCCTCCCTCCGTGGTCACTTTGTTCAGCCATAGCAGTTCTATCCTCTGGTGTTCCTCAACTATGCTTAGGGGTGTGGCATGCTTAGTGCCTCTTCTAGAATGTACCCAGGCTCCACAGGCTTCATGTCACTTAGGGTTATGTCTCAGGTGCTAAACACGGGAAATCGGTGCATCCATTTGAGCAGGACATGCAGCATAAGAATCTAATAGTAGCCCCTATTTTCTGAGCCACTGAGCACTGACCAGTCACTTGCTGTGTATCAGATGAAGTACCAGGTGTGTGGGGGCATCAATACCAATTGAATTCCTGCCTTCTAGGGGGTCATGGTCAGGTCAGAACATAGAGAATCAACAAGGCAAACATCTGGAAATGGATAGACACGTGCTATGTATAGAGGTAGACATCCTGTCCCTGACCCCAGGAAGTAGGCAGGGTCACTGTGCCCCATAGTGACACTTCCGGCTGGGGAACACATAGCCAAGAACCCCTCCCTTGACCGTTTGTCAGCAGAATAGGGAAAAAGTTCTAGATATTCTTGAATTGTAATCAGGGGCATTCATAATCCCTGGAACCGGCACCTCAGTTTCCGTATCTGCAAATTGGGAGATTATTGGTAGATATTCTGCTAAAGATGTCTAGGGGCTCAACATACTCCAACATCCAGAAAATACTTGGACATGAATAAATGACAATTTTTTCCACTTAATTATTTAATATAAGGGTTAATGTCCTGATCCTGTGAAGGAATGCAAAGGACTTAACAGTCACTGCATCATCTTTCCTGACTTTAGGCCACTTTTCCAAATCAAAAAGTGCCCATGCACACACAAAACGTATCTACAAGTCCTCCTCATGCCAACCTGCAGAAATGCCAGTCAGAGTCCGGTACACACACACACAGTCCACATCCTGGCATATCCTGGGAGAGATGGGCACCTCCTGCCCCACACTCAGCCTCCTGGACCTGTTATTTCCTCAGCAGAAACTTGCAAACAGCCTCAGACCCCAAAGAGTGAGTGGGTAAGGTTCCAACAAGTCTATAAAGACTCACCCTCTGCAACCCAGTCTACTATGACCCACCAAGGAGTCTTCATGTCACCCAGAGACATACCTGCCGAGAATCGGGGCCGCATAGATGCCGGTGAAGGTGAAGAGCCTCCGATCACTCAGAACGATTTTATTTCCCAAGTCCCAGCTTTCTATTGAAATTCTTCTTTGGTCTCCGAGATGCACAATTATCTCCCGTTCTCCTTTCCCTGACTACTGAAGTTGACAGTCTGTTGGCATCAACCAGGCGTACATTTGCATGATCAAAAGCAGATTTGTTCCAAGATGCGTGGTTCTGCTTCCCCACCAAGCATCTCCAAGGAAGGCAAGAAAAGTCCAAATCTGAGTGTTGTTCTGTGCCCCAGCCTTGGCCCGGAGGCGGCCCCTTTTGGGAGCAGGTGCGGTGGGAGTCTGAGGAGAGGGAGCTGTCTGAGAGTTGGAAAGCAGCACCTGGCAGCCAAGGCGCTGGCATGAGCCCCAGCCCAGCAAATACTGAGTCTTTGGTTGTAGCTTATAGTAAGAGGCACAGGCAGGAATCCCCAGCATGTGTGAATGATTTCTTGGAAAGAAGTACCATGGCTCCAAATCCTGGTGTTCAGGGGTAGCTGGGTGTTAGATCTGGACCTAAGCAAAGATGGGAAATGAATCAGAGGAGTGGATCTTGATTTCTCGTTTTGGACATGCAGTACAGGCAAATTGCTAGCAAGTCAGAGCTGTGGGTGTTTTAGCTTTCAAGTAGCACAGTGAGCCCTGTCTGCCTTCTGTACAGCTAAGAATGGCTACAGCTCACACAACCTGGGGACTCTGTGGGGCTCCAGCTTCAGGCTGCCCTAGCACTCCACCACCCTTCCATCCCCCCGAGACCGAGACCCTCAGAGCCCAATGCTCATGTCGTCTCATCTGATGCTTCCAAGCGTCCCCCTGCAGTTAAAACAGGTGAACTCATCCCCTCCAAATATTAGTCATATTAAGCATATGTATTTTTATGACTATGTTAATATAAAGATGAATGTCAAGCAAGCTAGAATCACTGTATTATTATTTTTTATTATTGAATAGTAGTATTAGCATTAAAGCTTTTCCTTGCCATTTTAAAAGAAATGTTTTTATGGGCCCCTAAGTGTATGGTAGGTGCTTGGCACTGAGCCTGCCACACCTGATAGACAGTTGATCCTTGTCCCATAGCTTTGTGGTAAGAGGAGCAGGTAGTGGTCCATGTGTGATTTATACAAACACCCACCCCCTGGGATTCATTAAATATCCCATGTACTGGGATCATCTGGGCTTGGAGGGAAGTTCTATCTATCCAAATAAAGCCCCTGACTTAGGGGCTTAGGTTCTCACAGGTAAATGACGGGCCATGGCTCTTAGCAGATACACTAAGGATTTCAGCTCTTGGAAAGAACTCTGGAGAAAACGGAGCCAGGGGGTGTAGACGATGTAAAAAGGGGACACACTTGAAGGATGGACAGGGAAGGCCTGTTGGAAAAGGTGACCTTTGGGTTAAGACCTGCATGGGAGAAGGAGGTAGCTGTGGGACAGGGACATCTAGGGAAGGGGGGAGTATAGAGGCCTGAGTGGGAGTGACCTGGCTGCCACACCAGGAAAGCTGTGTGCTGGGAACCTGGGGAGCAATGGAGAGAAGAGGAGGTAAGAGGCATTATGGGAGTAGTTAAGCTAAGAATTGATCCCGCTTACACACCTTTAAATAAGGCAAGCATCCTGGCAGCTGATGGAGACCCCGGAGAAGGTGGAGTATCCAAGGAGGTTAAGACCAGATTATGCTTCTGTGGACATGCAGGGAGCTCCCTGTCCCTCCAGTAAGACTGTGGACATGGCCACTGCTATATAATCTGATTTGGGCTTCAGCTTGATAGGCAGGTGGGAATGTGAGCTGTGAATTCAGTAAAGAATCAGATCTTTCAGTATAGATCTAGAAGTAAACCAGGGAAGTTTGATGCCACAGAAGCCCAGAAAAGAAGGGTTTCCAAAAGGAAGCTTAGGGTAAGTCACAAACACTAGTGGACATGGAGTGGCATGGGGGCCACGTTCTATCCACTGGGCCTGCCCAGCATGGATCATGTAGATCTTGATAAAAGACCATTTCACTCAAGTGAGGAACAGGAAGGCTGAGCAGAGGAAGTGCCAGTCTGCTTCCTGAAGCCACCCTGTCCGGGATGCAGTGACTCATGCTGGTTATAGACAACTGCTGGAGGACCTTGCTCATTAATAAGTAGGCCTCTGTGACCCAATCAAGCTCTGTTCCACAGTAATATGTGTTGTACTCATCTGGAACCCTCAGTTCCTGTTGCAGTATGTTAGTCTTCAATTTGTGTCCACTTGATGAACAAAAGGGTGCTATGTCCATCTCCTTGGTAGCCCTGGAGAGCTGTGAGGCACCCATCCATTTGCTCACCCATTCATACAGCCTCATGGGAACACAAGTGAGCTTTCCCCAGGCTTTCCTCTGGGGTTTCTGCTGTGCTCTTCTCAGACCTGCAGTGGCCTAACCATTTGGCAGAACCCTGAGAAAAGTCAGTGCACAAACCAATGTCAGTTAAGAGCCATCTGAGTATAAGGTGCCCCTTCTTCCCCATGGAGCAGCATAGTGTTATACGTCTGCCACAAGGTAGAGCAGGATGGATGAGAAGGCAGGTGAGCGTCAGGACAGCTGTCACATGGGGCACAATAGAGTGGTGGTAAAGTGGGGGCGGCAGGCAGGAGGATGCAGGAGCTGTGTGTCTAATCAGAGATCAGAGCTGGTCTGCTTCACTGGGGTCAGAAGCATGACAGGAATAAGGCACCCCAGGTGAGCAAGACCACATGCAGAGGGCAGAGGTAGACTGGGCATCCCTGACCGTGAGAGGCCAGCAGCTCCCACGAGGTGGGGACATCTAGATAGATGCCTGTGCTTTGGGCTGGGAGTAGATTTAGGCCTCTAATTGGATCATCATCTTCTGCAGCCCAGGTACACAGGGTGTCTTGGTCAGAGACCTCACCTTTACATCAGAGAGAGAGAGAGCTACTTTCTTGAGTATGCACAGTACTTTTCAACATAGCTGGTGCTGATACTCAGGGGTCCTATTACCTGAGCCCCTCTGGGGCTCCTTCGTATGAGGAATTGAAGGCAAACTATGCCTCTGAGTGTCCAAGTAGCCTTGGGGACCCCAATCTGGTTCCCTGTTGCTGTACACCCTCAGGCTTCCAGAACTTACCCCTCTCCTTGCCCCCATTTCTGCATCAGTGCAGAGGTCTCCAGACCCACTGAGTGTCAGAGGTGGGTGTTGCAAAAGACTTAGAGATGGGAAATGGCTGTAAGGGTTTTCCTTCCCCTGCTCCCCACTGCTCTTGCTTAAGCCTGAAAGCTGGACCAGGAAGGCATATTTTGGCCATCATATGTTCTTGCACAGTCCCTCCAAACTTCATATTATCCACAGGAAGAAATGAAGAGGGGAGTAAAAGCAAGAGGCACTTCCTTCCATGAAGGCAGGCGTGGAGTGTTGTTCAGCCTTCAACAGAGCAGCTCAGGGCCTTGTGAGTCTCCTCTGCTCTTCTAACTGAAACCAGACCTTGAGCAGGGTGCTTCAAAATGTGAATTTATATTCTCATGACAACGCTATAGCCTAGAGTTTAACTCTGCTCTGCCCATTTGGAACCTGAGGATCAGACAAGTTGCGTGATGCTAAAGTCACACTGCTTGAAAATGCAAAAGGTGAAATCCAAGCTTGGGCTGCTGGCTCCAGGCCCAGGTCCTTGCTAAGGCCTCTTAGCCGCTCTTAGCCCATGCCACAAACAGACAGGACTTGACATAGGACATTCTACAGGTGATTGCTGTGCTACTGTGATTCTCCTGGGACCAAAACAGGCTGGACCAACATCATCCACTTTAAAATATCAGGCTCAGAGAGAGACGAATCTGCTCTTCCAAGGCCTCCCAAGTCTGGGAGTTGACACACAAGCCGTCCTGTTGGTTCCCAACTCCGTGCTCTTGTTACCGCTCTGGGCCAGGCACTCATGAGTCAACTTCCTGCCCTCTGTGTTCTGCAGCCCTGTGTTGTCTGTGCAGTTGTGGGTCATGATTAATGTTAGATTTTTGGAGAATAAAAGGAAAGATAGAGGAGTAGGAGACAAGAAACCAGAGCCAGACATGCAACAGGCAAGGAGTAGATCTTCCTTTATTCAAAGATACAGTAAGAGGTAGAGGCTGACCGTGGGAACCAAGCTTCTACAACTAGACAAAGAACCTGGGTTTTTTATACCAGGGTTGTGGGACACAGCTGACTTAGTGGGGAGTTGAATTAGTGCCAGGGCTTGGTGTCCTTGGAGTGACTGAGGGTCTCCTTCTCAAGGTTATTTCCCCAGAAACTGGCAGGAGTGTTATCTATGGCCCTAGAAGAGACAGGTGGGCTCCCTACTTTCTCTTGGGCTTGGGAGTGACCAACTGATAAGGGGTGAGCAGAGTCAGGCTTGAGCAAGGCCAGGCTGCCATTTTAGGGCCAGTTAGAGACTTTAAGGGATTTATGGCTTTCCCTAATGAGGCTTGTGGCTCTTCTGCAATTCACACATTCTATCAGTTAAGGTAGAGCTGATGAATGACTGTCCCCATGACAAAGCCAGGCTGTGTCCCAGCTCCTGCTGGCCCTCTGTATGATGCTCCACAGGATATGCAGACTTTACTGGCCTGGAATTATGACTAGAAGTGGGGTGACACCACACCCAGCTCCCAGGCTCCCTTCAGTGACACGCTTAGGAATGCTTAACATAAAGCTGTAAGTGAGGGGAGGTGTGTGCTGGTCCCCAGTAGCCATTTTGTTCTGAACTATTCCAGTCAGGACAGATGAGAATTACCTGATGTAGTTTTCCCCAGGCTGCTGGAAACTTATGAAATCAACCGAATAGACAGCAGATGAGCAGGTAAGAATCAGTGTGATGAGCCAGGACCAAATGAGATGTAGACAGTAAGGGGGTACACTCTTTCCATGTGTTTTGTTTGAGGGTCTGTGAAACTGTTAGGGTGAGGCAGGGGTGCGTCTGTATGCTCTTACATATAAACTCTTTCTACCATGACCTTAGTCAGTGATGTTGGCCTCTGATATTTGGAAGCCGCTGGTGAGACGGATGGGCACACGCTCATGGGTCAGACCTAGCACATATTGGCATGCTTCGACTTCTTTCTTTAAAAATGTTATGTTAAGACAATGCAGTGTGGCCCTTTGTCTACACTAGTCTTCCTAGCTGTTTCCCGCGGCTGATACTGGGACATGTCCTTGATCAGTCATGCCACTGGGGAGGTGGGTTCAGCTGTCCTGCTGGAGGGCACATGCCCACTAGCTCACTAGTACAGGGTCTTCACGTTCTGCTCCTGAGTCTTTGTGTTTATGGGAGTTTAGTGAGCGGTGTAAACACACCAGGGCCTGCTGATAAGCAGGGCTCATGGTTTACAGAATACCCTAGAAACATGTAAACACATGCATCCTGAGCCTGTCCAGGGACCAGGCGTCTGGGCTACACTCCCATACAAAAATCTTAAAGAATCCTCTGCCCTTTGTGACCAGAAATGAGGAAACTGAGGCCTGCAGCCAAGGCTGAGCTGTGCCCCACCCTGCAGTGCAGAGGGCTGTAAGGCCAAAGCAGGCCGGGGAGGCTGAGAGGGAGAGGGAGCGACCGCACTGTTCCTGTGCAGTCAGCCAGCCCTTCAGCTCAGCAGTACATCTTTGACTGTGCTTCCTAAATCAGGCCCAGCCCCAGCCTCTTCCACATGTACCTTTGACAGCTCCAAGCCTGCTCTATCAGGCCCTGGGTATCCATTCACATGTCCCCATCTTTGCCCACTGGAGCACGGTCCAGCAGAGGGAGCTTGACCATGTGGTCATGGCTGCTTCCCTGGACTGGCAGAGGTGGCCAGAAGAAGAGTGTGTTCATTTGATGACACTTCAAATATCGAATGACTAGGACAGTAAATTCAACATATGAGCAGTGTGGAGTGAAACTCCTCATACCAGACCACAGTTATGTATAAGCTAGTTGAACACAGTCAGGTAAAGCCAGAGAGAGGCAGGCATGTGGCCCAGCATCAGGCAGCAGTCAGGACTAATGTAGACCATTCTTGGGATTAACTTGGTGTCCTTCTCCAAACCCTAGTGGAAGGCAGTCTCATTTTCAAATGGGGAAAGGAAGGCACAGAGGGGTCAAGCTACTTGCTTCAGGTCACACCGTGAAAAGTAGGGGGAGCTGGAACTCCAGCCCAGGAATTCTGGTTCCAGCACTAGGTACTTAATGCCATGCTTTGCTGTTTCTTGGAGGGGAAATTCTAGGGCAATGTCTGAGGGGCACAATATGAGCCTTTCAGAATGCATTAGGAAATTTCATATCTTGTCTATTTTTCCTTTTTTTGTTTTTATTTTTTTATATTTGTTTGATTTTTAAGAAATTTGAGGAGAGCCAAGGTCGAACCAACAGCAAAACAGCCTTTTACCAGGCACTGCAGAACTCCCTGGGTGGCGAGGACTCCGACGCCCGTGTCCTCACTGCTGCCACATGGTATTACTCCCTAGAGCACTCCACAGATGACTACGCCTCCTTCTCCCGGGCACTGGAGAATGCCACCCGGTAAGCCAGAACCACCCATGGGTAGACCAGGACCACATCGTAAACCAGGGCCGCTCAGTAAGCCAGGGCCACTCTGAAAGCCAGGTTGTGCAGGATGCAATTCCCCTGGCCACTATGCGTGAGGGTCTCAGGAATGTGCAGATACTGAAGGAGAGCTGAGGGCTTGGGACTTCATGCCCAAGGTGTCCTCGGCACCCCCTCTCAATCCACTGCAAAGTAGCCACCTGAAGAAGGCAGCCCTAGGGCCAGACATCTGACAGTGGAGGCACAATGGTGACTGGCCACGACTCCCCTGGGTTGTGTAGAAGTCAGCAGAGGGCGCACACAAAGTGCCCGCCACCAACGTCCTTCCTTGTGCTATAATGCTGCTCGGCCAGTGCTTGTGGAGGACCTGTTATGTGGCCTCATGCTGACCCAGCAATTAGATCACCTGGTGGCAGCCACATGGAGGGGAGGGGGATGACAAGGGCCCAGAGGTGCAGACATGTCCACAGCTCTTCAGCCCACTCCATGTGTGGCCAGGGTCCACTTAGTATACAAGAATAGAGGTCTACTGGGCATTATGCCTCTGTCCCCCAAGCAGAGAGAGCCACAGGAGTCCTTTCCATGGGGAGCCTGTGCCCAAGTTTCTATCTTGAGAGCCTGCTCTGTCCCCACTCTGAGAAAGTGAATGGCTGTCCCCGCAGCCTCTGCTGTCCCTAGCATCCTTCAACACAGAACTACAGGGTCAGGACTGGCCCTATACTGGCTCCCTCTCTCCATTCATTAATTCACTGAAGCCAAATACTTCTTTCTTTTTTTTTTTCAATTTTTTTCTTGTCTTTTTGAGACAGGGTCTTCCTGTAGCCCCAGCTGGCCTGGAACTCACTATGTAGACCAGGCTGGCCTTGAACTCACAGATATCTGCCTGCCTCTGCCTCCTGAGTGCTGGATTAAAAGTGTGCACTACCACACCTGGCTCAATATATATTTTTATTGAGATTTTATGCATTTCATACAAAGCATCTTAATGATCTTTATCCCTCCTCCATCCGCAACTCCCTGAATCCCCCCCACCGGATTTCATGCATTCGGTCATATATGTTAATGCCTATCAAGTCAAGTTAGTATACCCAGACATCCCTCAGTGCAAGTTCATCCACTGGGGTCTAGTCAGCCTATCCAGGGTCTCTCCCTTAAAGAAGATCAGCTCTTCCTCACCCAGCAGCCATCAGCTGCCAATATTTCTTCAGCTAAGGTTGGGGCCTGTTGCTCACTTCCCCAGTTCTATGCTGGGTTTTTGTCTGACTTTACATGGGTCTTGTGCATGCTAACACCTTTGCTGTAAGTTCATGATTGTGTGTGCTGGTGCATGTGTGTGTGCAGGTGTACATGCATATGTGTATGTGCACGTGGAGACCAGAAGACAATCTTGGATGTCATCCTCAGGAATGCCATCTACCTCCTTTGAGACAGAGTCTCTCATTGGTTTGAAGGTCACCGATTAGGCTAGACTGACTAGCCAGAGTCCCAGGGGTCATCTTTCTCTGCTTTACCAGAGCTGAGATTACAAGCATGCACCACCATGCCTGGCATTTTTACATTTGTTCTGGGGATCAAACTCAGGTACTCAGGCCTATGAGGCAAGCACTTTACTGAGTGATGTCCCCAGTCCCCAAACCTGTTTTCTATAACCAAGTAGGTTTTCAAGGAGTGTGTTTGAAGCCAGAACCAAGGGGCAACCTTGTTACAACCCTCTTCCCTCAGAGGCCCTGGCCATGAGGCCATACAGTGGCATTTGACTTTCAAGTTACCGAAGACCCCTTCTATGTTCTCAGTTTCCTGTAGGTCTCCCTCCATGGGAAAGATGGGCCAGGTGGAATCAGTGTTCCATACCTACTTCTCTCCCTCCAGGAGCTCACTTGACTTTGCTCTCTGTCTCTGGGCTCAGGGCCAATGTCACAGCTTATCAGAAGCTCTAACTGACTGTGGCTATCAGGAACAGTTGCCTGGAGGCCCTTTGCTCCACCTGGGAAGCCGTGGTTCCACTTAGACAGTCACTAGCTCAGATTAAGACTATGGAATATTCACTTGGATCTTGGGGCCCAGAAAGCCTTTAGTTGCCCCTCAGTGGAGAGCTCCACTCTAGGCCAAGAAGCCCAGGACTATTTCTGGAGGCCCAGCTCTTGGTTAGACAGTGAGTATCTACAGATTCCCAGACCCTTACTCTGGGTAGCTTTACAATGGTGTCAGGGCTTTCCCAGATCCCAGAGGCAGGTGAGCTTGGGGCCAGAGTTTAGAGACCCAGGCTCTTGCTTTGAGGTTGTTACTGGCCTTAAAGATACTGGGAGAAAGCTCCACAGAGGAGCCAGGCCCCAGCCTCCCTCAATGCAGACTCTCATTGCCTCCTGGACAACTCAAGTAATAGCTTCCCTTGACCTCCCTGCCTTCAGTCTCCCATAATGTCCCTTCCTCGGGACTGCCACCATAAGCGTCTTTCTGCAGGTCCAGTTCTATCCTGCCATCATCAGAGGTGAGGCATAGCTGCCCATATCTACCCTCCCAGACCCCCACATTGGTTCCACCTAGGAGTCCCGCCTGTGACTTTCCAGCTTTACCAAAACTCACCAAACATCGCCATCACATGACATAAAAAGAGGTGGCAGCCTTCAGAATGGGCTTCCATGGTGTCCTTAGCCTTGGCCATTGCAAAGCCTCTTCAGGACAGACCCCAGGCCAAACTTTTCAGCCGGGAGGGTGAAGCAAAGGGACAAAGGGCCTGTTGGGTATGTCATCTTACTCAATAATGCAGAAGGAATTCACAGCCTGGGGATGAGGACAGCAAGGTCTATCTGATCCCCCCGACCCCCAGATCTTTGAGCACAGGCTGGCTCATCAGCATAACAGAGCCCCTGTTGCAGGGGGAGCTTATTGAGTTGGTTCACCCTGAACCCCCAGGGGAGTTAATTTGAACTTGGTAGCCTAGGCAAGTTTCCCCATGCCCCTCTCCTGTCATCTAGTCTGAATGAGGCTCTCCTTGGGAGTTATTGTGCTCAGAGGCCAGAAGAAACTTTCTAATCCCACTTGTGGCAGCCAAAAATATCTCCAGGCATTGCCGGAAGCTGCCTGGGACTGGGGAGTTGGCAAATCCACCCCTAGTTGAAAGCCCCAGATCTAAGAATGTCATAGGCATGCAGTATGTTTGAGGACTTCGCTTCTATTTAAAGGCACATTGACTGATGCCCTACTCTACTTGCATTCACTCTGCTTCCCTGGCAAATGTTTGCTGGCAAATCTTTCAGTGGCATTGATGATCTGGGAAGAGGTTCTTCCCATAGGCATCTTCATCTGTGAAACACACCACCATGGCCACCTGTGGCTGTCAAGCACCAGTGTAGCCACTGGGGAGCTGGAGAAAGATGTTCCCTGCAGAGCTGGGCAGGGGAGCTTCGGAGTGGTAGGCCTGGGGCTGGAGACCACCTATGGGAAGCCCTTGCCTGGTACAGCCCCCTCCCCCACAGACCTGTTTGTAACTGGACTCCCTCCTCTGTCCTTTCTTCAGGGACTACTTCATCATCTGTCCCATAATCAACATGGCCAGATTCTGGGCAAGGAGGACCCGAGGAAGCATCTTCATGTACCACACCCCAGAGAGCTATGGCCATGACAGGTGAGGTGATGATGTGGCTATAGTGAGTGTAGGTAGACTAGACTGTCTGGTAGGGGTCCCTGTCACCATTGTGATCCACAGAGAGGTGGGAAGAGAGCAGGACAGGTCATAAGCCTTGCCTCAGGGATATGGACAGGGCTTGACCTAGTTATGCCTTGGGTCCATCATCTGAAAATGGGACAGTGGTAATGGCCTCCTCATCTCAGAGCACTGCCATCTAGGAGTGTGAAGTATGGGGTGTAGGGAGATATCTCTGCAGTGATGCATGTTGGATCTGCAATTTGAGTTGCTGGTTGGTTGCCTGGCCATGGGGAGAGACTTTTTTTCTTGCTACTTTCCTACATGTGTATGTGTCTGGGAACTCAGTACTTAAGAAATGACTTTCCACAGTATGAAGGGTTCTCTCTCTCTCTCTCTCTCTCTCTCTCTCTCTCTCTCTCTCTCTCTCTCTCTCCTCTCTCTTTTCTTTTTTTCTGTTTTTTTTTGTGAGCTTGTCTCTCTCTCTCTCGCGCCGTCTGTCCTTTCTCTCTCTCTCTCTCTCTCTCTCTCTCTCTCTCTCTCTCTCCTCTCTTTGGTTTCATTTTGTTTTGGTTTTTGAGCTAGTGTCTCACTCTGTAGCCCAGGCTGACCTTGAACTCTCAGCAACCCTCCTGCTTCAGCCTCCCAAGCACTGGGCTAATAAGCATGTGTCACTGAGCCCAGCTTAAAGGTTTCTGTTTATCCTCAATTTCTGTGTTAGCCTTACTTCCAGAAGCAGTCCAAGTAACTGGTAATAAAAGCCTCAGGTGATCACTTCTCGGCCTTTTGGCTAAGATCAAGAGTAAAAGCCTCAGGTGAACAAAAGCATCAAAACAGGAGAGGGATATGAGGGAACAGGTGGGAAAAAATGTCAGAAAGGGAAGGAGTCACGAGGAGCTAGAATTTGGCCCTGAGTTTCCCAGAAGCCAAAGAAAAGACTTCTAAAAAATGATAAAAGTTTTGGTTTTGTAGTCCTATTAGCTGAGCAAATGGAACTTTAGGGAGGTCCAGTGGTGGGGCTCAAGTCCAAGCTCCACTGCAGTGAGGATGATGCAAGGAGGGGAGCTGGGGCATGACTACCAAGGTCTGGAGGGAGGCCTGTGCAGCTGGGGTTCTGCTCTCTCCCCATGTAGACTTGGGTCCTTCCTGTGTGGGGTACATGTGGGAAGCCCAGGACCCTTCCCAGAGGGGCTGAGACTTCCATACTACATGACAGCTGAATAGCCACGTCCCACTGTAGTACTTAGGGAGGACCTGGTGCTCTTCTGAGGGCAGGAAAGGAGTGGCACCCTAGTATCAGACTGAGAGTCTTTGGAATGAGCCTATACCTACAGACTGTAGCCCAGTGAAACTGATGCTAGTCTTCTGCCTTCAGAGCCCAGAGACAATAGATGCCTGTGGCTTTAAGCCCTCCCCCAGTGTTAAGCCCCCCTCCCCCAGTGTTAAGCCTCCCCTCCCCCAGTGTGTAGTACTTATCAGCTGCTACCCCAGGGGTCTCATACAGCCCTCAGGACATTCTGGTCTCCCAATGTATTCACTGCATTCAGTCCTCCAAATAGATGACCTGATTTTCATAGCATGTCCTATAAACACATGGAATCCTTGTGCATGGGGCAGGTTGATGCAGTTGTCTCTATTTCATAGGCAGCATCTTAGTCCAGCCAGCTTCTGTGACAACACACCTTAGACTGGGAAACTTACCAAAGCCCAGATTTACTGCTCATAGTTGGGGAAGCTGAAGTCTAAGCTCAAGACTAGCGGCTTCAGTGCCTATCAAGGGCCGGCCTTCTGCCTCACAGAGTACCTATATTGCACAGGAAGGGGAACGAGCTGCCTGGAGCCTCATTTATAAATGTGTTGTTCATGAGAGCCAACCTCCTGAACTAGTTACCCAAAACTCAGCATCTGAAGAGTGACACACTGGGGATGAGTCTTAAACCAGTGACCCTTGGTGCACAGACACCCATGTCAGTGAGCTTGAAGTTCAAGGAGGTCAGCATGCTCCTCCCCAGGACAAGAAGCTGCATCAGTGCAGAGCAGCGGCCTGCCATCGCGCCCCAAGACCTGGAACTCTGAGTCCACTGAAGCATGTGGTCTCTGCTTAGCACCATCCGTAATTTCTACTGTACCTACTTCCTAGGGTAGACGGTGGTCTGGGGTTGTGGGAAGGAAGCTAGATGGCCCACTGCAGTTCTGGCGGAGGCATGTAGCAGGCAGGAAAGGAATGCTGAAAATACCAGGGCTTGAGCACAGTAGAAAGAGCCTGTGGCCCAGGGGTCTGTAGACATCTTGACCAGGAAGCCAATCCCAGAACCTGTTCCTAGGATCTGCCTTGGCTGTGCCTCCCAGTTCAGGGCCCTGGATATTCATGCCACTCCTGGCTCTGATCAGCATCTGCTTCCTGTCGGGTAGAGGAGACATGGAAAGGTGTGGGCCCTGCAACGAGCAATTCCTCAAGGCCCTTAAGAAGCTTACATTGTTGATCCCCAATATTTAAAGCAGCATTTTTTTAAAAAAGGAATGAATTCACACATGACAGCAAAAATGATCAAAGCACAACACCAGCACACACACAGTTCTAGTGGAGTTGAGCGCACATAGACTCTGGATTAGTTTTGTAGTCTGTCATGGTAAAGGACCACAGCCTGGGTGGCCTTGGAGCAGCAGAAATGTATTGTGCCACATTGGGACAGACAGAGGGTTGAAGCAAGTGTCAGCAGGGCTGGAATCCTCCAGGGGTTCTAGAAGGCTGTGCCTGGCCTCGGCAGCTTCTGGTGACCTTGGGCATTGTTCTCTGGCAGGAGACTGTCTCCTTCCTGCACCTCACCACTTGTCTTCTTTTGTGTGTGTCTGTCCCTGGGTCCAAATTCCCTGTTTTTGCAGGGACATCTGTTCAGCTGATCAGGGTGCACCCTAACAACCTCAGTTTAGCTCAATGACCTTGTCTCCAAGCATGGTCCCACCCTGAGGTTCTGGGTGACCTGTTCTCCGGGACCTGGAGGTGAGAAATCCTGCAGGGAACAACCTTTGCCAGCAGCCAGCAGCACCCTCAGTGCCCTGGGCTATCCTCTGCTTATCTCTCCAAAGATGAGCAGAGAGGGCTCCTGTGATGATCCTGGGAACCCCACGGATCAGCCCCATGGTGTGCTGTGTCCTCAAGGGTCCCTCCCCATGGTTCTTAACACTCAGCCATGGGCTCTGGACTCAAGGAAGGACTTGGTGGGTGCTCAGGAGACCGTGCTGAAGGCCTGGAGTAGAGGTGAGTCTACGCCTCTCTGGTGTCTAGGCTCTGGCACTGGTTCTGCAGGCTGTGGACAGGAGTAGGGAGACACTGAGCCTGGAGATAGAACCTTCTCTGGGCTCCACAAAACTAAGGGGTTCCTGTGAGTCAGGGAGTGAGATGGTCTTTCTCAAATCCAGCCCAGCTGTCCACCCACAGCCTGAGCTCTGTTGATGTTCAAGGCTACCCTGATATTTCCAGGGAAGCAACACTCATACATTTAGGTGTGGCTGTGTGCTATAGAGGGGTAGTGCCCTGGTGACAGGGAGGGACTCCAGCAGCCACTACTTCCAGCAAGAAGCATGCCCTCTTACCAGCTAGTGACCTGAAGCAACTCACACAGCTTCCGTGGTGAGTCAGTATCTTCATCTAAACAATGGGACACAGGAGCAGGGTACGGAGCCACTGAGACTATGGATCTGTGTGTAGAACAGAGCCTGACTAGCTGTAAGCCCCAGGAGTCCCACTGTTCTTGGCCATCAGGACGTGTTCTCGACAGCCTCCGTGCTCGCCTGTCAGTCAGGGTGGAACGGGCTATGGAGTACACACGTTGGTTGCTAGGTGGATCAAAGAAAAAAACTCTGGACTGCTGGCAACTTTATTTTCGCTCCTTCAAAATAACCCTCCCCCCACCCCCTTCCTCCTCTTTCTGCCTGCCCCCTCCCTCTCCCCCTCCTCCCTCTCCTTCCCTTCCTCGTTCTGCCCTGGAGCTGTCACTTCTCTAGTTTATTTTTGGCTCTGGTCTACACACTCAAAGCGTGTGTGTGCGTGTGCGTGTGTGTGTGTGCGTGTGTGTGTGTGCGCATATGTGTGTGTGTGTGTTACATTCCTGCCGTCTGTCGCCTGCTCCATTTCTGTTAGCATGCAGCAGCTTTCCTGGCAAGCACCAGAGAATAGACACCATACTGCCTGCTTCCTTACAGAGCACTGCTCTGTGTCACAGAATGACAGTGTGGTGCACTCATGCCCACCACACTGTAGATGAGCTGAGGGCAGATAATTGTGATGGCTGGGGCAGGGGTGGAGGCAGAGAAGCCACACCCTTCAGGATGAGAGATGCAACTCGGATCCAGCCAAAGGGTTGGAAGGCAGCTCCTCTCGTGCCTTTCCTGGTACACAAACAAAAACCTGGGAAGGTGAGCAGACCACGCTCCACTTGCACAGCCTGTGTCTGACGGCCTGGAGTCTCACCTGTCTCCTGCACTCTCCTCTGCTCTCTTTCCATTGCACCCACTTTAGCCAAAACTAGATTGTACAACTCGGCTAAATCCATACTAGCTGTGCAACCTTGGGTAATTCACTTAGCCTCTCTGGGTCTCCTCAGCAATACCAAGCAAGAGGAATACCTGCCCCACAGAGCTGCACAGAAGGTTGGTAGAGACAGGACCTGTGCAGAGTTTAGCCCAAGGCTTGCAATGTTCTGGGGAGGGGGTTGGCCTGTGTGCAGACTTTGAGCACCAAGGATGTGGGTGTGAGGGTCAGTTCAACAAGGGTTCACTCCAGCTCTTCCCTTTTTGGGTTGTTTGCCTCTGAGCAATTTCTCACCTATGAATAAGAGTCATTTCCTCCGCTTCATATATGAGGTGCGAGTATTCAAAATATTCCAGTTCAATATCCAGTTCCCTGTAGACCTTCAACATTTGGTCATTAACATTGGGTTCTTTTAAGAAAAAATAGAATTCTGATAGGAAAAAAGTAAATAAAAATGACGAAGGAGGCTGTCACGTTCCTCCTTTATAAGTTCTCCCAGCTGTGGAAAATAGAACAGTAAATCTTAGCTTTGGGATGTTTTGAACAGCACTGTGCTACATTCTAGACACTTCTGTGCATTCCAGGGGCCTTGCCCTTTCCAAATCCAAAATGCTATCTTTTCAGCTGACTGCGTTGGTAACTTTTAGGGAATTAACAAACCAAAGAAAACACTAAGGATGGATTCTTGAACTGGGTCCATGGGCCCCGCCACATCCTGTGTGATCATCAAGATTATCTCCCAGGGTGGATGAAAGCCAATCTCTTCCTGACACTGACCAGTCCAACCCCGAGATGCTCCACAATCCTCCTCAACGCTGACTTGACAGATATCTGCCTGTCTTGACAGATAGGATAGACAGAACAAACAGCACACACACACACACACACACACACACACACACACACACACACACCAACCCCCAGATGAGTTCAGATGAGACAGTGGCACTGGGAAGGAGGGAGCCCTAAGGTGCTGAGGTCAGCAATAGGGGAAGGACCTTGTGAAAAACTGGCATTTGAACTCAGAACATGAAGGAGAGGTTTGTGCTGCCAGTGTCTAAGTGGACGGTGAGAGAGTGGTCCCCAAAGAATGGCTGTCACATGCTTGGGGCCCTGAGGAGGGAAGGGCCCTGCTTGTCTGTGGACAAAGAGGGCAGGGACCTGGAGACTGGTTGGAGATGAGAGGAAAAAGACAGGGTCTCGTCCTTCTCACTGACAGGCAAAGCGTGTGTGTATCTGAGAGTGACAGGAATGCCACTGAATCTACTTTTTTCTCCTCAAAGCTATGTTATCTAGAATGCACAATAGTCTTTTCATTCACACCCCAAAACACAGCTCATGGAAACACTCTGTATTTCTTGGTGGTTGTTAATAAAACAAAAGCTGCATTGTCCAATATGATGGCCAGTTAATCAGTAAAGCCTGTACTAGGTGAGTGTGTGAGGAGCCCTGGTGTAGCCTCAGAGCTGAGCATGGATTTTCACACTGAACCTATGAATCTGCACTTACCCCTGCCCTGCTCCTTATTTCAAGGTTTAATGATTAGGTGTGAAGATACTGTTTTCAGTTCCCCCTCTGAACTGCTTACAAAACCATAAACATAATGTGTGGCCCATGATTTCCAGGCTGGGACTCTAAAAACGGGAGATCTGCGTGACAGTCAATGAACATAATGACCCAGACAGTGGCTCTAACAAACACCTGGCCTGGCTGCTGATGGTGTGCATGCTGGCCCGGAAAGCTCTGACTTTTGTTGGTGACGACAGGTCCTGTCCCTACAGAAGTGCCTAGAACATGTCCATAAAGTGACACTACACGGAAGGAGTCAGATATCTAGTTTAATCCAGCCAGTCAGCCAGAAGTTGTGACCGTTCCATAAAACCCCTCAACATCAACTGCGCCAGGCTCCAGGGAAGACAGGAACACTGTTGGCACTTGGGGTAGCTTCTGAGATTGGCATGGGCACATTCAGGGCACCTAGCTATAAGAACTCTTCACCAGGGAACGGGGTGGGACAGGAATGTGTAAAGTCAAAGTGATCCGCAAAGCCTGTGGTGACTTCCTGATTCCCTCACAGGCAAGATCTGTGCTTTTGCAGATCAGATTTGCCCAGACAGAGGTAGAGGTACTCTCTCAGGTTCAGCTAAGTGCTCTGATGAGTCAAAAAGAAGCCTAGAAGCCCTGGAAGCAAGACCCCCCCCCACTCCTCCCCTTCCCTGATTTCCAGACTGGGTCCCAGGGATCAGAAGGGAGTATGCTTTGTGGGGAGGAGGTCAGCATGCTTCCTTCCTCAGAACTATGGCAGGATCCCTATAACCATAAACTCACCCAAACAGGTCACATGGCTGGGGCGCAGTGGGCCTTTTAGCCCTCTTACCCTATCCTCAGAAGACAATGCCTTCCATCTTGCAAACTGTCAAGTTAGCTCCTCCCTGCTCCCCTCTGGGCTGGAGCTGCTGTTCTGGTGCTTTGGGCACAGTGCCCATCATCCTGCTTCCTGTGGGCTGCAGATAGACATGGGTTGTGACTCCTGCTGCTGGAAGTAGAGCTCATATTTGAAGCTGTGCAACAGTCAATCTCTCAGTGTGACCTGGGCTTTGGCTTGCTGGGAAGCATGAACAAAGTGGTAAGGTCAGGGATGGCGGGTGAAGAAGCCAGGCTCTCTCTCTCTCTTGGGCAGCAACACTGGCTACCTTTCCACAGCATAAGCTTCTGTCCTGCATGGCTCATGGCCATGGTAAAAGGCACAAAGCCTTCAGCTTGCTGGCTCAGATACTACCCAATCTCCAGCCCCTTTCTGACCTGACCTGCAGTTCTTCTTGGCTCTCACCTTGCCTAAGTGCTTGTCATCTGTCATTCTTTGGGCTTTCCTAGCATGCTTCTCAGCATGACACATTCGTCAGCAGAAATTCAGTTCAGTCATGGCATAAGTTTAATGAACAACTACTATGTGCCAGGTGCCAGGGTGGGCTACATGGATAAATGCCAACCTCAAAGACCTGGGAAGGTGCAAGTTATAAAGAAGGGTCAATGCAGAAGACATACTCAAAACAGGCCATTGTTGTGACTTTGATCAATGAATGGAAGATCAAACAAACATCCAATAAGACAATGTTGGTATCATGGCTGGAATGTGGGCAAAGGGTCTTCTTGGAAAATCACCCAGGGCAGTGCTTCTCAGTACCAGGTGAGCCTCAGCCACCATACATGCCATGTCTCTGCCCCAGATTGGCCTGCAGACTAAAGCCATTTGGGATGTCAGCTACCTTGGGCACTAACTAGGGATCCTATACATGGTGTGGAATGGGAGGAGTCTCCGCTTTGGAGGACTCTTGGGTTTGGTCTCCTTGTCTTTGGTAACTCTTGCCTCTCCTTCTCCTGTCTTCCCAGTCTGGAACTTCTGGCAGATGTACAGTATGCTTTTGGACTACCCTTCTACGCTGCCTACGAGGGCCAGTTCTCAGCCGAGGAGAAGAGCCTGTCGCTGAAAGTCATGCAGTACTTCTCCAACTTCATCCGATCTGGGTGTGTGAACTGCTCCCCTGAGCTCTACCTCCGTCCTGTGTCCCTGTTCCTACAGCTAAACGAATACAAAAGCCACATTTCGTATTGGCCGACTCACCCTCCCCGCACATGCTGCTGCAGGGCTCTGCTGCTCTTTCCTGTCTCAATCTCCCCCTCTCTAGCAGAAACTACACAAAAGGTGCAGACAGTTCTTCATGAAGGAAGCTTCCGGTTCTAGCCTTCCCTTGCTCAGATACATTTAGTGGCTCTAGATCAGCAATCCTCAGCCTCCACGCTGCTGATTCTTGTGACCAGCTAAACTGTATGTGTCCTCTAGGATATTTGACATTGTCCTTGACCTCTGTCCACTAGACACCAGCAGTACACACTGTGCTATTTACTTTGAGTGCTATGACAAAATACCAGACAAACAGCTTAAAGAGGAAAGATTTATTTGGGCTCACAGTTTAAGAGGGTTCAGTCCCTGGTTGCCTCGTGGCCTTGGACAGGACATCCTGGTGTCAGGAACATGAGGAAGGAAGCATCTTTACCTCCCAGCAGATGGGAAACAGAGAAAGAGACCTGAAGGGGCAGGAACAATAGACACTCTTTAAGTCCCTCCCGGAGAGACCCATTTCCTCCAGTTAGGCCCCACCCACACATTTCACAATAATCCACTAGCTGGGGACCAAGCTGTCAGCATGCAAACTTGTGGGGAATATTTTATATTCACACCATGAAACCTGGTCTGTTCTAATTATAAGAATCAAAAATGTCTCTGGCAAACAGTCATGATGGTATCACCTATCATCCCAGCCCAGGAGGTTGAGGCAGGAGGATTGAGAGTCCCAAGCTCCTATAGGACAGTCCCAGCCTGTTATATATAGAAGACTCTGTCTCAAAATGTGAAATGTTAAAAAAAAATCCTCCAGGCCTTGCCCAGTGTTCCCTAAGGGCAAACCACTGAGTGAAGAATCATCCTATGTCCTGTGGGTGCACAACCACTTTAGGATGTCAGTTGTGGTAAACCATTTGGCATTCTGGAGCTTGCCTAGCTCCTGCTTCCTCCCCAACTGCCTAGTTCCCTTGTCTCTTTGCATTTCCTAGAAATCTCCTAGGTCCCTAGAGAAGAAAGAAACATCCTGGCCCACCCTCAAGCTGCTAACAACCCAAAAACAGTAAAAGCAAGTATGATTCAAGGCAGGTCAAAATATAGCTCTGTGCTGTTTGCTATGGACATTGGATGGAAGAGGATGTTTCTTCTTATTAGCGTTTTAGAAAAATGTTTCCCCAAGGAAGCAGCATTCAGACAGGGCCTTCACAGATGGCTAAACCATTCAGAGGAGCAAAGTGGAGCTGTTCTGGAGAGTAAGGGATCTGAACCAAGGCAGGTGTCGAGGCAGCATCCCTTGCTGTGAGGGAGAGGCTGGTGGGTCAGGGAGAGTAGCTCTTGCAGGTAAAATGAACAGGTAGTGAAGGCATTAAGAATATAGAGATAACATGATATCATTAAGAAACTTCTAGAAGAGTAGGTAAACAAATGGCATAGCCAGGCACTGTCCTTCACCCTTTCTGGGTCCAGGGTGTTTGCATACAAGCTAGTATGGCCCAAGGAGGACATTCAGTTCTCCCCGGAGGGAGGCCTGGAGGGCTTCCAGGGGAGGGATACTTTGGGGAAGAGTCTAGAATGATAATTCTGCAAGTGAGAAGAGAGGCAGGACCTTGTCTAACCTGGTTTAGGTTCTTAGTTCTGCTATGAGCTTCCAAGGTCAAATGGCCCACTGACAAACCCAAGTACCCTTTGTTCCTTTAGCATGTCCCTATAGCCTGGAGATACATCTTCTGTCTTGATGCCTCTGAGAGGGTATGATATCCCCTTCATGGGAAGTTGGCCTGTGGGAGACAAGGTGGCTCTAGTCCCACCTTCTTGAGCCCAGGGTTTGAATAAGCAAGGGCCTTCCAGATGCAGGACATGGCATCCAGCTCAAAGACATCAGAGTAGAAATGGCACCATGGTCTCCTGAACATTCAGAAAGACAGGGCCACACTAGGTCCTGAGTGCTGTCACTGGGTCATGGACTTGCATTTTTTTTATACATGCAGGGTGTGAGAGGCAAGCTCAGAGTGCCTTTGTGCCCCAGTGCTTTGTGGTACCCAGTTAGGGTCCTAGCCAGGCGCTAGGTCAGGTGGGTTCCCATCTGGAGCTCCAAGATGAAGGCTTTTCCCTTGGAGACCAAGAGAGAATAGGATGTGACACCAAGTGGTGTGAATGGTTTCCCTCAGAGACATTTATTTCTTCTCATTTTCCTAGAAATCCCAACTACCCACATGAGTTCTCAAGAAAAGCACCCGAGTTTGCAGTACCCTGGGCTGACTTTGTCCCTGGAGCAGGAGGAGAGAGCTACAAGGAGTTCAGTGTTCGGCTTCCCAACCGTCAGGGCCTGAAACAAGCTGACTGCTCCTTCTGGTCCAAGTACATCCAGGCTCTGAAGGCAACAGGTAGCTGAGCCCTGGGGGTCAGGACCTGGGGGCGGTGCTGACTCAATACCTGCTGACTGGCTATGTATCAGTCTGCACTGTATCTGTGGGAGCCTTTGGGTCACTGGGTACTGGAGGCACAGCCCCTTCCCATGGGGGGCTCATAATCCAGGGCTCCTTTGTCAAGAGCCTGCTCTTCTGATGTTAGATGGACACAAAAGTGAGGCCCAAGGAGAAGATACTGGACACCAGGTGGGAAGGGCATGGAAAGGTTAAGTGGAGAAGATACTGGACACCAGGTGGGAAGGGCATGGAAAGGTTAAGTGGTGAGTCAGCAGCCAGCTTCTATCCAGGAGTGCTGAGGTAGGGATGTAAGGGTCCTAAACTTCTTTTGGGGCTGGATAGGCTATCTTGGAGAGGCCCTTGTGGTCAAGGTGAGAGGTGGTGTGCCCACCTCTTCCTGCTGCAGAGAAATGTAGAAAAACCCTGATGTCCTTAAGAGACTTCTAGAAGAATAGGGAAACAAATGTCACAAGCCAGGGAATGTCCTTCTTCTTCCTAGTGCCAGGGTAGATATCTGTACTGGAGCTAATGGGGCCCCAAGGTGGGCCATTCACTATTCCCTGGAGGGCCTGGAGGATTCCTAGGGAGGGACACTTTGGAGGAGGCTCCAGAATGCCAGTTCTGTAGGCAAGGGGGCAGAGATAGGAGATTAAACAGAGAAGGGACCTGGTCTAACATGTTACAGAGTCTCTACTCTACTTTTAGCTTCAATGGCAAGTGAGTCCCTTGAAAATCAAGCACTGTTCTGCCCTTAGCATGTCCCTGGAACTGAATCTCATGCTCACATGCCTCTGTGGGGCATTGGTGTAGGATGACACTGGGCCTGGTCTCTTAACTAAAGGCTATATTCTGGACTAACTTGTCCTTCCCTCTGTTTTAGATGGAGCCAAAGACACACAGTTGACAGAGAGTCAAGAGGAAGTCTTAGCAGTGGGGTCTGAGCTAGAAGAAGACCTCTCCGGCCCCATGGAGCCTGGCCCCAAGAGCTACAGCAAGTGACCAGCCCTGAGATCTCCCACCCACCCTTCCAACCCCACCCTATACTGCCCACCATGGTGACCTCACTGTATACAATAGCCGTTTTCGTTCAATAAAATGTCTGCATTCAACAAAGCACGGGTGACTCTGAGTTGTGACTTCAAAACAGTTCTCGGTGACTACATGCGGTGTCAGTGTAAATCTTCCTGAGGCTTGGATTCCAGGCTGCTGGGCTGTCAACAAATATTTACAGAGCATCCATCCTGCACAGGTCTGTGCTGAGCGCTGGGTGAGCAAGGGCCCTGACTCTCTGAGAGAGAAAGTTGGGCAAACAGAGGACAATGATACCGAAAATGAGGGTCCATTAAGGGTACACGCCCCAGAGAGACAGTCTCACCTGAGCAGAGGAAGGTTCCAGAATGGAGGTAGGAGAATAAGGCAGGTGCAGTGGTCTAACAAGAGACAAGGATGTCTGAGCCCAAGCAGTGAGGCCAGAGGTGGGGTGGGAGACAGACACAGATCCAAGGGCCCTGCAGGAGGCAGAACTGAGGGGGACGTTGCACTGTGTATGAGGAGTGGGTGCCAGGAAACCATGGAACCTTCTGGTTTACTTGGGTCAGAAGTGGCTGAGATTTTTATTTGCCTTCCTAAGGGGAGTACTGATGGGGTTAATCTGTCTAAATTCTTTCTCTCTCTCTCTCTCTCTCTCTCTCACACACACACACACACACACACACACACACACACACACACACACACACACACACCCTTAAGCTGAAGTCAGAGCAGGCAGGACAGAATTCATTAGCAGTCTCTGTCATTTACATGACACATCATGAAATGTGTTCACACCCATCATCTCGGTGATGATTTGCAGGTTGGATGGGGCCCAGTAAGGCTCATGAGGTGTCTAGATTCACAAAGGGAAAGGAGGATGACATTCCACTCAGGTCCATACCTTAGTGGGGCTCTAAAGCAGACACCTGGATGTGTTTAGATGACTTCCAGTAAGCCCTTTGGCCCAGTGGCTTCCAGGCTAGGCTGAAAGGCTAATGAAATCAGACTCACCTGAGGACTTGCAAACCATACCAGAGCCACACACAGGATAGGTTAGGTAAGCTCAGGGGCTGGGGCTCAGACATTAGGGACTGTCAGTATACTGAAGAATATCCACCCTTTTAATGTCAGGTCTGCAGTTTGTTCATCTATAAAATGTGAGTGGGATACTGGAGCTCCTTGCTACCTGTCACTTGCAGATGAGTGAAGACAGAAATCGAACTTTTAAAACTGCTTTCTTTATTCAGAGAGACAGTGAACTGGGGACATAAGGGACAACATCCTAGAAATCTGCCTTCCATCTCATCTCCAACCAGCAGATCACATGGGAGAGAGCAGAATGGGGACAAAGGCAGGAACAATCACAGGAACTCAGTGTGCCTCTCTGGTCAGGTGATCAGCACAGTGTGATGTCTGCCTCTCTCATACTTTATCCCCAGCACTCTTCCCTTGTGCTGTGGATGTCTGGGCACTTCTTGAGTCAACTTAGTTTCTACTGGCATTGAGCAGAATGGGGACAAAGGCAGGAACAATCACAGGAACTCAGTGTGCCTCTTTGGTCAGGTGATCAGCACAGTGTGATGTCTGCCTCTCTCATCCTTTATCCCCAGCACTCTTCCCTTGTGCTGTGGATGTCTGGGCTCAGGCACTTCTTGAGTCAACTTAGTTTCTACTGGCATCGACCTTCTCCTCCTCCAGGAGCATCTGGGCTGGGAAGCACTTCACAACATATACTTGGTTTTGAGACAGGGTCTCACTATGTAGCCCTGGCTGGCCTGGAACTCACAGAGATCCATCTGCCTTTGTCTGCCTCACAAGTGCTGGGATTAAAGGTGTGTACCACCATGCCCCAAACGCTTAACTCAGAACAAACAAATCATTAACAGTATGTGTGAGTTAAGCTAGTAATAACATATATGTGCTGATTCCTTTCTGCAGTATGGAGTTCACATGTGCCTTCATGACACAGAATATCAAAGTCCCCTTATCAAATGAATGCAATTAAGTTTACTGGGTGAGCAACACTTAACCAAGGTTTATGATGGAAGCAATTTTAATTTCCCCACTGCTTCTCGTTTGTAGGAAGCAGGGTAATACCCTCCTCCAAAGTTGTGTCTGCCTAATCCACAGAGCCTAAGGCTGCAGGTACATTCACAGTTGATAATAAGTTGACCTTAAACAACCTAGAATTACCTAGCTGGATCCAAGGTCATCTTAAGACTCATTAGAAATAGGCTGAGGAACCAGAAAAGAGGACTTGGCCCCACATAGCTGGTTTTTAAGATGGAAGAACGCCATGGACCAGGGAATGTACACAGGGTCCAGAAACTGGAAAGACCTGTGTGCCAGCCTAGTTTTCATCTAGGGCCTCCAGAACAGAATACCCTGATAACATAATTTGGGCCCATTTGAGATTCGTGTTGAATTTCTCATCTCAGAACTATAAGGCAATAGACTTTGGTTGTACCGAGCCTGTAAGTTGATAGTAACTGTTACAGCAGCTATCAAAAGCTAATACACCATCATTCATTTTCAGATGTGTATTTTTTTCCTGCCACTGACCAAGCTTCAGGTATGGCTAGATCATTGTTTTCCTGATAAATAAAAGTCAGTCTAACCCAATACTGAAACTCTAGATCAAACAGCTCTGGCCCTGCAAAATGGATCAGTCCCATTCTGCCCTGTAGCTGTACTAGGGAATGGAGTGATGTGGGTGGAATGCTTTGATGGTCCCTGTGAACCTTGCATGTGTGCTGGGGCACTGCCAGGTGACATTTAGTTTGGTTCTCATCCTTTACAACCTGAGGAAGAAAACATTGCACTACACTAATAATGTCTGCATGGAAGATTGTCATGCTGATTAAGGGAGCGAATGCCCACAATCAGGGAAGAGTGAAGCACTGTCCCGGGTTCCTTCAGTTCAGAGTGGACTGAGGATACCTCCTGTGTGTCAGTCCATAAGAAAGGTAAAAGTAGGAAGGGGGTCCTCAGAGGCCAGGCCATCATGGCCCGGCCCTGCAACAGCTCTGGGAAAACTTGAGTGGAACAGACAGCACACAGTAGAAAAGCTGTTTGTGCTGGAAGGCACCCATGGTCCTGTGAGGGTCAGAGCAAGCAACCCACACCGGCTCCCCTGCCAGCCCATGGGAGCTGCCACAGAGCTCTGGGCTCCAGACTCCCCACATGCATTTTCTCAGGAGCCAAAATCAGTGAGATTGCGTAGCCCATCCCCATGTACATGCACAGGCAAGAGCACATGTGTCAGTGAGGCAGGCAAATGTAGAGAATAGTTTAGCAACTTAGGACTCCACCTGGCTTGAGCTATACACACACCTTTCTGAACAACGCACCTAGTAACCTGTTAAAAGCCTAAGATTCTAGGGCTGGAGAGATGGCTCAGTGGTTAAAAGCACTGACTGCTCTTTCAGAGGACCTGAGTTTCAGTCCTGGCACCCACATGGCAGCTAACAACTGTCCCTAACTTGAGTTCCAGGGGAATCCAATGCCCTCCTCTGACCTTCGTGAGCACTGCATGACACAGGTGCACTTACACACATGCAGGCAATACACTCATACATAAAATAAAAATAATTTAAAAAACACAGTAGGACTTCACCTTAGAACTGCACAAATACATACCTACATTAAACAATGGAAATATGTTGCTCCCCTAAGCAATCCCTCCAAAACCCCTCATTTCTATTCAAGCACATCTGGGGAACTATTGGTTTGGGGTATGTGTACAAAAAGGCAAAATTGTGTCCCTAGGTGAATTTTTGGGGAAATCCCTTATTTCCCATCTTATGCCTATGCATAACTGGATATGCATGATTATAATTAGACACATTATGGGAAGGGGCATGCTCAGTAGAGAAATGATTATATGACCTAATCTGTCGAGAACTATCCAAACTATACACCAAGATCCTACTTCTTTTGAACCCTATAAAAGGAAACCCCAAGCAATAATTGGGGCCCTTGAGCATCTTCTTTCTTGTGGCCTGTTATCACTCTTGACAGCATATTTTCTGACCTGTTCCATTGCTTTGCCTTTAAATTAACTTCCTGTTACTTTGTAATCTAGTCTATGCGGGCTTTTATCTCATTCTTGAATAAAAGGCTAAGAGCCCCAAAAGACCCAGCCCAGCTCTGACTATAGGTAACAACAGCAGCTGAGCTTTAAAGGCCTCTTGAACTCTATTCTTCTTCTGAAAAGGTCAGGGAGGTCACAGAATACCAGGTTAGGTTCGCACAAAGGTCAAAAAGTGAATGGGGTAAACTTATGCATAATCAGAGGGACCCTGGGGCTCCATGAAGCATGAGTCAGGGCATTTACTGGAAGCCAGTTACAGTACACTTCCTTCTGAGCAGGGGCACCCCAGAGGGAAGGACTGTGAGGCAAGTGATCTTCTTCAATGGAAGTCAGTGATAGTCCTGAAGGTCCCTTCCTTACCTCCCCTAAAGAGTCAGCAGAGGCGACAGAACTAGGGACTCTTGTCCTTATCAAAGCTGGGAGGGACGTTTCCTCGGTCATAACTTCCAGGATCAGGCTAAGTGCTTAGAACTCAAGTAGATCATTAAAAACAAGGACTTCACACGGGGTATGGTGCAGCAGTCTGTAATTCCAGCTCCTTAGAAGGTTGAGGAAAAAGGATCACAAGTTCAAGACTTACCTTGGCAGCTCAGTGAGACTCTGCCTCAACATAAAAAGTAAAGACAGCTGGCATGCTGCTCAGTGGTAGAGTGCATGCTTAGCATGCTTGATGGCTTGGTTTAATTCCTAGGCTAACAAAAAACAAACTTGTTTTAAAGCTTTATGACTAAATAGATCTAGAGCAGGATTTGGACATCTATAGTTCCAAATGAGCAATACCTCGTGAGGCTATGTCCAGTGGCCTGTCAGCCATCAGTAACACTACCCTCCAGTGATCACTCCTATCACTTCCCACCAGATTGAGCCTGGTCACCCCTGACTCCAGACAGCATGAGCTCACCTCTAATTCAGATCTTTCACCTTTACACTAGTTTCTTTCTAGTAAATGTGAAGGTCCAGCTTGCTTATGCTGCCC